GATTTATCGGCAAACCGTTTGGCGAAACGCTTAGAAAAGTCATAGCACTAATGTCCTCACCGAGCCGCACGTTTTGGTACCTTTTTTGTGTATGTAATAATAGTAGTGTGCTTCCAGGCTCACTAACAACAGTGTAAGACAGTTATGAGTGAACAACACGTAAGCAGCCTACCGTTCCAGTGGCTGGTCTATCAATCTGGATTTCCACCACCTCTCCTTCAATAATCTCCGTCTCCTCTCTGTAAAAGAAACACACTATGAACATTGATTCAATCAACAATGAGAATTACAAAACAGAATTATTGTATTTGCTCACTCACTTGATCCTCACTCCGATGGCTTTTCTAAAAGACTGGCTGAGTGCCTCGGTCTTGCTCATCTCCAGGGAGAAGATCTCACTACCAGCCAGCGCTGTAAACGGTGTATCAGGGCCAAGAGACTGGGCGATGCCTGCATAAAGAAGCAAAATCTCAGCTGAACTTATACTCTGCTGCAGCATCTGGGAGCAGGAACTCTTGCTTTAACAAAAGCATAACTTAAGCCAATTAAATCAGAGCAAGGCAACAATATGACTTTCAGCCGAGAATGATGAAATAATATTGTGTTCTGGAAATCTTCCAACGTGGCCCTTACCCATAGCGATGGCAGTCTTTCCTGTGCCAGGTTGGCCAGCGATCAGTACTGCTCTGCCAGCAATGTGGCCATCTTTGATCATCTCAAGGATGACCCCTGCTGCCCGACGGGAGGCCAGCTGGCCAACCATCCCCTGAGACACCTGCAGGTGAATAGGAACATCCTTGAAGCTAAATTCGACACATATTAATGCACAAATGCAAGTCATTCTGTGCTGTAATGGAATATATCTATTGAATTCACAACATTACTGCTCCTATACTGAGCTTGTCTAACAATTACTTTTTTTGGGATCAAATTTTTATTTTATTTTAAAGGGAAAATACATATAGGTATATGCACTTTACAAAAATAGAGCATAAAATACATATTCACATACATACCTATACATATGCATATATACAGATACATATGATTAGTCTACCAATGACTTGACATAAACTATCCAAGTAAACAGGATTCCCTCACAGAGTTACACTAGCGTAACAGTACCTGTCTTGGCTCCAGAGCATCATCCAAACCAAGGCCACGAATGTGAGAGTGTGCTCCTAAACACAACATAGAAATGAACACATTAAAAGTGACCACATTTGGGAGAGGGAGTGAGGGCCAGGTAAAGTCAAGGTCCTGGTGTAAACGTAGATGCTTACCGATTCTCTCGATCCGCGTGATGTCACGAACCTCTGGAACCTTTGTAGTCGCCATCTGTATTTAGTTGAAGCAGATTTGTATTAATACAAAACAACAATAATTAGTTACAAAGATTGAATTCTAATCTCAGCTTTTCTTCCCTTATTATTGAGGAGTTACTGGACACTGTAATGGCACTGTAACACAAACCCAAACAAAGGAATAGGCAAAGGTTGGAGAAATATTTGTGGCTGTTCCAACAAAGACTCAAATCTTTGTATTTAAAGTCCTATTGACTATCTAGCTAGTCACCATGGGAATTCAGCTCACAACAGAGGGAATTAAACTATTATTAGCCTGAAGAACAACATATCATCTTACAGAAATACTACCATAGAAATTGCTTAAATTATCTAAAAAGGTATCCAGAAACTGAAACTATGATTTTACAGAAACGTGGCTAAAAAGCCATCAAGCCACAGCTGGGAGTGAACAAGGCTTCTGCTTCAACAGTAAGCTGGGCCGATGACAGCGCAGAAACTTTTATTAAGTCATCAAAACAGGGTGAAGACGCTTTGAAACTTTTTGTTCAGTAATTAAAAAAAAATTAAAAATACAGACATTTTTCAATTCACTAATCCAGAGGTCTTATATTTTCCTATTTTGGCCAGTGCCGGAGATTTTCAGTGTGTGTACCGCTAGAACAAGTCTGTTTATTTGCATTCCTCTGGCCGCTACTGATGTTTAAGTTCTTAAATAGAAAAGACTTAGGCTTTCACCAAGTTTTAGTGCTAATATAAAATCAGGTAACCAGGCCGGAGGACTGTCCTGTCCAGTCGGTTGTCATAGTGACAGCTGTAACGTATGCCACAACAGAAGAATACGAGCGTTTGTCATCTTACGGTGGCTTTTAATTTGTCGTATTTGTCTTTTATATAAAACATTACCCACCTCAGAAGTCAGAAAAATAAACTTGAGTCAAATGATACGCTGAAGCCACACATCTCTGCTGCTATCTAGTCGACAGCGCTGGTACAACTAAACACTATGCTAACGCTAGCCAATGTTATGTTAGCACACTAGCTAGCTCCATTCAATGGTTTTCTGTCTCCAAACTACTGTTACACGCCGCCTCTTGATGCGACAGCGAATAGCAAGGATTTAAATGATAGTAAACATACTACGGTATCTGGGTGTGAAATAGCGTGATCTACAGTACTGATTACAGTAACAATCGTATGAATGTAAACTCACCTGTGCAGCCACACTTGAGAAAACGTGAGAATGCGGCGCTTTTTTCCGATGGTACGCAGGGCAATTGTGTCCGACGAGAAACAAGTCCTTCTGTTTCTACGGAGGCTTTGAGATAGACTGCCCCATAGACATATAACTGTTACATGGACTGCCCTCTATAGACAATTGACGTGCTATAAGAGCATGGTGAATAGACCAAATGAAGGGATGCAAAATACATGTAACCTGTTTATTAAAATACAGGCCATATAAACAGCCGGTCTGCCCGTCTGTGTATTTAAACCGGTAAACTAACGCCACGAGCTAAGCGTGTAAACTAGCTTTTACGTTAGTCAGCTCTCCATTTGGTGACCTGAAAAAGATATTTAACTTATTCTTATTAATTAATTTGTACTTTTTATCTTGTCTTCTGTTCTCTAATTAAAAAAAATACCCTAAAAACGTTATTGACTACCTGAAATGTTGCAAAATGACAGGTATGCTATCACTTCACACAATGTAGGATTTACCAAACGAAGTACGGACAGTAGTGTGTAAGTTAAGTAGAGAGTAGGGTGAATTTGTTCATGGAGGTAGTCTGTAACATGTTTGTCCTAACCAGTCCCATAATGACAGAGTAGCCTTTGGTCTGTGTTTGCAAGGTCTCAGCCTGTCTAGCCAGTGCACACTTTGGTATACCATACTTCTTGTTAAGTTTTAATAACTGTGTATCTCCAACAGTGAATCATCTCCCCACACAGACCTTTCCCAGTGAGGCCGATGACAGCCGGTAAGCACTGCATACATTTCTCCACTAGAGGTAGCAAGGCTCACAAGTGATTTTAGAGGTTTAAGAATGTCAGTGCAGAGGAACTACAATAACCAAAGTTACACAGCCAATTATTACTAATGACTGCTCACCACATAAACTTAGTCTATAAATATTATGCATTTTGCGGGCAGTAACGTCTGACTTTTGTATGGTGCTCATCACCTTTAATGTGTGTAAAAATGAAATACTATATAATGACAATGTGTTTTTGACAATGTTCATGTATCTGTATAAAGCAACAACTAAGATCACAAACCTTTGATGGGTAATGTTAAACATATGGGAATTGAGATCCGTTGATGTTTTGTACCACATTTACTAAAACCACAAAATCCCTCACCTTTGTAAGTATGGAGCCTACCTTTCAGTCTGGCCCCCTTGTTCATAGAAACTGTGGAAAAATGTAAATCCATAAAACATATTTATCAGGGTTACAGTATCACTGACAATGGCAATGTTCACCCGCTGGCCATAAGGATTCTCTTGGGCTTTTTCATATCCTCTCTACTGTACCTTCAAAGTTTTCCTTGGAGGCTGCAGTTTTCAGATTCCACATGTATTTTTATTCTCAGTACACCTTTGACCTGAATAACAATGATTCCCTTTTCTATGATAAATTTGTATTTGAGAAAACTTGCTTTGCTGCCTGTAAAAGATTCAATAACATTTAGCTGGGCTCTTTTTTCTCCCTTCTTGAGCTCATGGCTGAGGTGATCGTTAATATGTATTCCCAAGGTTACAAAAAGTAACTGTTTCTGCACCCCTGGTCAGACCTGTAGCCTACACTCTGGTGTATCAGCACTGAAAATACAGTCTTATTATCAGGCTACTTTGACCTTAAAACCTTTATTTAGTAAAGAGAAAAAAATGGCTACCAGCTTGAATTGTGTTTTAATTCCTACAATAATGCCACGTTTTATCCAGACCTTTGATGAATAACTTCATGTTAAAGATTTTCAGAGTGAGACTGGGCCTAACCCAGCATACTACAATTCAAACTGTTGCTTGATGAGGCTCAACTCAGGAACTCAGGAGCCTCTCGGTCACACCTCGCCTGTTCCTGTACAACTGCTCTCAGACCTCCACAAACCAGCACTGCTAGTCAGAGACAAAGCATCATTCATAACACACACACACCCACACCCACACATACACACATATTCTCTTACTCTCATACTCTCACAACAAATGCATTTTATTGTACTTATTATGAATGTTGGTGTTCATGCAATCACATTTTCAGTTTTTAGAGGCAAAGTAGATTCAGGTTTGTGATCTTACTGGCCAGGATACTGGAATATAGAGATCTTAACTGAAAAGCTATCATACATTCTCTACGCCTAGTTGCTTGTGACTGTCTTCAGTTTTTTTTATATACCTACACTAGAGAACAACATTGAACCGTTTTCTTCGATCTCCACCTTCATATTCTAGTGCACGGCCTGCAGGAACGAGGTAGTTAGCCTGTGGAGTGAAAGTTTGTGATAACAGAAGTATGAAGTAAAAATGCAACAATGGTATCGCAGTGTGTCTTTGTTATAAAATGTTTATTGATAAAAATAAGTATATCACAACCTATATAAATGATCTCATGGTATATTTCAATCAAGTACAGCCTTCATTATTTTAAATGCTCATTAACTTCATACACCTGATCTTACATTTCACATGATTTGCAGAATATTCACAGTCATCTAGAACAGTTCCCCTGATAGTCAACATATACTGAATATATACTGTATATAGTCTTAAAAACAACAATATATCCTATCTTGTAAAATAATTATAATATATAATCAGATTGTTTATGTTCTGTAGATTCATACATACATACTGAATCACAGATCATTGGAAGTGTGTTATTTAATCACAGCTGGATGAGGGTGATAGCTGACTCATACCAAACCCAGAAGCCTGGATAGACTGCCTCACTAAAGGAGGCCTTAAAGCGGTGGATGAGAGACATGGTGTCCCCTACAGTGTAGAAAGAGAGGGTCCCCCCAGCGTGGTCTAGGAACACCCCTATACGTGACGAGTAGGGTGCTTTGAGATCTATCTGGTCTTTGTTGTGGCGGGCTGAATAGCTGGAATCAGAACAGAAGATGCTCCAAGACTTGCGGTTGTAGCCGATGCGACAGCTGTCTCCGTAGCCCGTCCTCTTGATGCCTTTGTAGGTGACACCGAGGGCAGCACCTTCTCCGCTCCAGTCAATCTCCCAGTAGTAAGCTCCTCCGGAGAGAGGCTCCATACACAGGACCTGGGGCAGGGAGTCAAACCTGGCTGGGTGGTCACCGTAGGATTGGGGGTCTCTCTTGAGGGCAGCTTTCCTGTTCCCTCGAGACAAGTAGAGCTGTCTGTAGGCTGTGTTTGGGTCCAGAGTGAGCTGACAAGCATCTAGGATGATAAATCAAACATTGACTTCACAAGAGGAAGCATTTAACTTCAGTTGCTGGGGATAAATGTAAATGAGGAAACCAAAGCTGGAAAAAGCCTCTGTTTCATAGCAGCTTAAAGCACCCTTCACCATTGCACCACATTTTAAACTAACTTCTGCAATGACAAGACCCTCTGGCTGGACACACAAATCAGAATAGCCCCAGAGGTTAGACGTCACCTGCCTGCTGTGTGCTGTCTGCAGGTCACAGTTGGTGAGCCACCCGGTGGCCTCGGCTAGATCTGCCCGGCCTATTATCTGGAATGCCAGAGGTATCAACACTGTCTGTGAGTTTGACCACAAACAGAGGTCCATCGAACAGAGTGCATATTTAACTGTAACTGTAAGGTCACACCCACAACCTTTGAACCCCTTCTCCAGTGACTTTAAAGATTTAAATTTTTTAAAAATAAATGTAAATACTGGCCCCTGAAAATTTGCGTAAAACACAATATTGTTAAAATATTCGAAAAAACATCATGTTTTTTCCAAGGATGAAATCTAGTTTTTTGCTTTTTCTTTGTTTATCTACCCTGTCTGGTCAGTTTTTTCATGCACTTTATACAAGGAAGGACCGTTAAACTGCAAACTGAAGTAAAATCGCAAAGCTGTGTAAGTGCCAACTAATATATTTGTAATTAGTCAATCCCAGTCTCTGTCAACACTGTAGGACATACAGTAGTTACCAAAATCAGATTTTGTGGTCAACCACAGGGTCTGACAGAGAACTTCATCGGCATCTAATTTGCCTCATGCACTGAAATGAGCAGGCAGAGCAGTGATTGGTGGCAGTGCGGAAAACAAGAAAACACTATCAGAGAGGCTGAGACTCACATTTCAGGAAATCGGCCCTGTGCTGAGGTTCATGGACTGGTACAGACTTGTACATGGCAGCTTCATCACCTGTGAATGTGAATATGTGTATCATGTCAGAAAATAGTGATAGTGACATAATGGATTATAATACTTAGAATTGAAGGGCTTGTTTGTATTACTGATATATACCTACATCATGCTGTTAATCAGAAAAAAAATAAAACTACACAATATATGTGTTATTCCTGTAAAGACTGGCACTGTTGGTATTCTTGTTATATTAACCCAGGTACTGTGGCTATCACAATATGTAGAAATCAGTGATCAGCACTGTGAAAGACCATGTGACTAGCCAAATTCTACTTTAAAGGGCTGTGTTACTGGCTGGCAGTGTGATATCCTAACCAAAGTAAACATTTAACACTGTGGCAACTATGTGTGTGACCTCAGGCTACCCTCTAATGAATGTCATGCTCCAAACATCAAACAGGATTACACAATGCCCTATTGAGGACAAGGGAAATTATAAATCTAGCTAACTTTCCCTTTTCAGATTATGCTTAATTTACAGTTTGGGTCTATATAATGTCTAAACACTGCTGCGCTGCTGGCTTTATGGATTATCTGAAAGTAATTTGTACTAATATTATTGCATTACTACACACCACATAAAATCAACAAAAGGTTTACTCACTTTTTATTGACCGTCTCTTTTTGGATTCCTCCAGTTGGCAGAAGGTCATTTTGTTAACTGTAAAAATACAAAATGAATGAGCTTACATGGTAACGGGGTAGTAATATGTTAATAACTTGTTTGAAGACATTTCAGACTATTTAAATTCACTTTAGAATTTTTCTGTGTTTTTTAACATCAAGGTCTGAATCCTGGCTCCTTACTCACCCGTCGTGGCTACCTTAACCAGTTCATCATTGCTGAATTCATTCAGGTGCTGTTTCATCTCAGAGACGGCCTTTGTGACCGGGCCGAAGGTGAAGTAGGGGTTGACGGTCACTGTAGGCAGCTCCTCAGCCTCCGTCTGGGCTATCAGCATGTGGTAGGACTAATGAGGAAGAAACAACAAGACAGTTATGATAAGTATGTTTTTGTTTTCTGTCTCCTTTTTGCATTGCATTTAGTAGTTACACTGATTGATACACATTCAGACTACAGAATGGGACTGTATATTGTACAGTGTACTAAATATGATATTTTGCAACACAAGTCTGTCTGTCTCTTGACCTTGTGACTGACTGGTGGCCTGTACAGGATGAAACTTGGATGGGCATTGTGCCAGTATCACTGAATCTATTTTATTTTAAGTGGCTGTCAGCTACCTGGATGAAGTGGATGTGGTCCTCAGTGCGGGACAGCTGGGTGATCTCGTTGTCTCTCCTCTTCAGATCAGCGATCTCATGGGTGAGACGCTCCATGTGGCCCTCTGCGTTGTTGAGTGCTGCTCTCTTGTTGGAGGAGATGAGTTTGGCCATCTCTTGCTGCATCCTCTCAATGGAGCGCATCATGTCGCTAAACATCTTTTCACATTCCTGCAGCGCTCTCTGGGCTGAGTTCTGCACAGGAAACACAAATGAACTGCCATTAATCAACTGGGTGTCACACTGGTTTTACTAGCGCTCTGAGAGAAGCTGTCATCACTCCCACATGAAGGAATGTTGTCTGTGTTGGTAGTTGATTTAATTTTCCATTTAATCTGGAGTGGTTAGTCTGGATGATGGTTGCACTAACCTTCAGTGAGTCCACTGCTTGTTTTAGTTCCTCCATCTGCTTGAGTCGGTCATGAATCTTCTCCTGGATCTCAGCCTGGGTGGCGCCCAGCCGTTGCTATGAGAAAAACAACAGACATTGTTGATGATGGTGACAGAAATTCTACAAATCAGCAACTCAACTGACAAAGTCATCTAATCGAGATGTTTTTTAGATTTTAACAGTGTACGGCTCTGGGCTACTGGAGTGGAGTGGAAGCAGTAAGTGCAGGTAGCAGCCTTACTTTCATGGGTGTGTCTCAGTAAACGCTCAAGGCTGTGTTTTATCTGCTTGTTCAATCTATTGTACACATTACATTATGACTTGCCACTGTGTCACAAGTGCAATGCATATGTGAATGTGCCACCATTGATTCACAAACGACGAGGCTCATGGACATGAAATAGTTCTTCTCATGTTGAGCAGAACACATTGTAGCATTCTTAGTGCGCCTGTCAGTCTGGTGACAGTCTGACAAACCAGTGTTGTCACAATAAGTAGTGTTTCCTACCTGCTCTTCCGCCCTCTCCTGCTCAGCAGACACCATGTCGTGACCTTTGTGTTCTTTCACTGTACACAGCACACAGATACACATCTGGTCAGTGCGACAAAACAGCTCCAGACCCTTCTGATGCTGGGGACAGATCTGTCTGTCCAGGTGGCCGATTTCATCCACCAGCTTGTGCCTTTTAAAAGTGGCTGACTCAAAGTGGGGCTTGAGATGCTTCTCACAGTAGGAGGCCAGACACATCAGGCAGGTCTTGACGGCTTTGTGCTTCTTGCCAATGCAGATGTCGCAACCTACATCCTGGGGTCCTGCGTAGTTGTAGTCAGGGGACGGAGGTGGAGGTGGAAAGGATTCGGCATTGCGTTGGATGGTGGAGTGCCGGGAGCCTCCCATGCGCCTTGGGGTGGGCCTCTTGTTATAGGTGACCCTGCACTGTGGGCAAAGGTAGGAGCCTGTGTGGTCAGCATGATCCCAATATGTCTTCAGGCAAACGGAACAGAAGATGTGGCCACATGGAATGGACACGGGATCCCTGAGGTATTCCTTGCACAGGTGGCAATCTTCCTGTTCGGATGACATTGAGACGATTTTGCGTTGTTCCCTCTGAGGCGGTGTAGATGCTGTGACGGCAGTCAGTAACTTGTGTCAGCACAGTGGCAAAGTGATCCTACAAGTACTACTGGCGCAAGTTATATAGAGTAAACAGAGAGGGCGGCCAAACTGGTTAAGCCGAAACCAGTCAAACAAGGGCGGGGCAAGAAAAGAACACAGTGAATGGCTCCATCAGTTACAGAATGTTAGCAGAAGGAATAAAATGCATGGTCATAAGGTTTGGCCCTGACAGCAAAAATGTAATGTAAAAAAGTGTTTTTTTAATTTCATGTAGACACCATTACAAATAAAAAGACAATATAGTCCTTTAGGATTTTATACATTTGTGTGCAGGAAAGGGGAGCAAACAGAGCATGAAAAATATTGAAAATATTATTTTTTATTTGCACTCCATAAATATATGAGGCCAAATATTACATTCAAAGGTAAGTAGCAGTCTACAAAACAATGCAGTGTAAAGGGAAAAAAGGCACAGGTGTATCACACTTGAATGAAGTCATAATTGCTGAGTGTTAGAGATTGCCTGGAGACAGACTGTTCCCTTTGGGCATGTGATGATACCCACTCAAGTCACAGCACAAACTGACCTAAAGCTAAATAGATTATTTTCTGCATTTTGACTAATAATGATACAACTCCTTTTCTGGTAATCAGCTGTAATGTCTCGTCAGCAGCCGCATCAGCAATGACTCTGGTCACTCTCTTGTATGGCTCAATGGATGTAATGTAGCTTTACTGGCTTTACTTGGTTAAACCTTCACCTCACCTGTAACCAGTTAATGATCAACTTTACCACTGATTTCTTATGAGGCTTGACAGAACACCTGTAGTTTCTGTACATGTAAGTCAACACTAGAACTGTACTTCTGTGGCATACAGTCAACTGCGTTAATATCTCAAATAAGAAAATGTGCTCCTTGAAACCAAAGAAATTATAAAAATGTTTTCTCTTCTGAGCTAAATACCTTCCTCTGTAGATTTCATCTGAAAGTGAGCACACCTCCCAGCCAAGATGGAGTTTCGGGGCTGTTGAAATGGAGATAGGAATGCAACTACACTTGATAGCCCAGATAACAGGAGGGCCGAGAAAGCCTGCTTAAAAGATTCCATTGTGTTAGAGCCAGCGTGGCCTAAGTGGAGTGCCGGGCATTATAGGGTCTGTTGTCCGTCAACAACGGGTAACTACAGCTGACATGCAAGACTAAATGTAGCATCCTATTTGACCCAAAAACAGACAGGGGTCGTATTCTTCAGTGCAAGTGACACAACTTTAACTGAGATTTGGTGTAGTGACTATAATGAGGTGGAAATTAT